GGGACATTCACAACAGGAACATAAGAGAGAGGGTGGTTTACAAAGGGCTACTTAGTAGCCAGGAACAGTGGAGAGGCTGTTGTCATCCTCAAAGCTAAAAGGAAAATGTCAGGGCCATTCTAGAATTCCAAGGGAGAGTTCATGGAAGGAGTTGCCTTAAAGGTTCTGTGAACTTCAGCCCAGTGATTCACCTAGATCTAGGCAACTCAGCAAGAAGAGAATCAGGAAAGGAAATACCATGATGTCACTCTCTTCCTTTCCTCCATTCTCCTGCGAGACCTACCTGTTGCACAAACCCATCTGAAACCAGAAGGCAAAGAGGCTTGTTGATGCAGACTAGGAGTTGACAAAGGTAGATATCTAATAAATATTTCCAGCTTTTTGAATCATACAGTCTCTACCACAACTACTCAGCTCTGCCATTGTAGCATGAGAAAAGCTATAGACAATACACCAACAAATGAGTGTGGCTGTGTTTCAACAAAACTTTATTTACCCAAGAGGCAGAGGGGCTATAGTTTTCTGGCCCTTGTAGAACACTCATGGTGATCTGCTCAGGTAAGGGATAGGGCAGATATGAGTGATGCCAGCTTTCAACTGACTATATCTAGCATCCCTTCCCCAGCCACCTCATCTAAAGGACTTGCTATAGTCTGGATCTCAAGTGTCCCCCTAAGGGTCCAAGTGGAAAGGGCTTGGCCCTCAGTGTGATGCTACAGGAAGGTAGTACCCTAGTGGGAGGTTGTGAGGTCTTTATGGGCATGCCTTCAAAGGGATAGTGGAACCCTGGTCCCTTCTTACTTTTACCTCCTAGAGACCATGAGATGCCTCACCACACACTTCCAATAATCATGAACTGAAACCTCCAAAGCTGTGGTCGGTCCAAAATACACCTTTTCTCTTTAAAATTCAATTATCTCAGGTGTTTGTTATTATGACAAAAATCTGCCCACACAGAACTGCACTTCCTCCATCATGATCACATTATTCTATTTCCTTCATCATAAATCAAAATCTTATTTGTCTATAAGCATAGGAATTCTAGAATGGCACCCAAAATAGTGCCTGACAAATGGTAGCCAGATAAAAGCTTTGAATGAACATTAAGAGTTAATATGACACAGTTGACAAAAGTCCATGATATCTGATCTCCTCGACTTAGTTGTACCAAAGATGTACTCCAAACAGAAATTCACCTCTCCCTCACTAGAGCACACTTAGGTACAATTCTCGTCTGTTTTGTTTCTGATTTCCAGGCACCGTCTCCAAACCAAGACTGTACGTCCCTCACCAAGTGCCTCCCCCATCCATTACTGCAGTTTACAATTTCCTATGTCAGCCTTTTAGGCCCTAAGTGGTTTTGAGTTTGGGTGCTATGGAAATATTTCTGCTTCATGAGACCTCTCGTCTCTCCCCATCCTCCCAGCATGGTCAAGGAGAGAAAACCTGCTTTTTATGACTCCATCTCATCAAATGACACCAATGCATTTTCCTGGATAAGATGGTGAGGAAAGAAAGAAAAAGAATAGGGCTTGTGAGACTCTGAAATTTCCTGCATCCTTATTTGCAACACAAAAGATGACAAATCCTCAACATTATCCAACATAAGGAAATGTTAAATTATCTTAAAAGTACTGAGATCAGAGAATCACAATGTAAGAAATACTTAGTATAGAACATTAAGTTTTTTTTAAAAAATCAAGACACAAATTGCACACACACTATTATTGCAAGTGTGAGACAATTATACCAGGATACAAGGACTATAGGGAGTGTGGTGGGGTGTGGCTGATTTCTTCCTAATCATACTTCAGAGATATTCATCTAATTCTCTTGCCTGGACCTGCTAGCTGAACAAGTGTCTTAGACCTGGTTCAAATCCTGGCATCTCTACTTAGCTATAAGACCTTACACAAGTCTATCAGATCCTAGATTTTTTCATTTGTAAAGAAAAAAGAAAGAAAGAAACTTTGCCACGTACTCACAAATATTCTAGAGCAACTGAGTACAATGAAGCATTGAGGAAATGCATAGAGCGCACACAGTAAACCTTTGTTAAATGCTTGGTCATTTGGGAGGATTAGACTAGAGCACAACAATTGAAGTGTCCATTTCCACGATTGCACTGTGCCAATTATGATGAGTGGTTCATCTTGAGCAGTGGAATATGGTCCCAGACACAACATTTTATTTCAGCCAATCAGCAAGAAGAATGACAAGATGGGAACTTACTTACTTTTTAATTTCTTATTAGCATATGTTAATTGTAGAAAGTAATAGATTTCATTATGATATTTCCATACATGCATATAATTATCTGGTACAATGGAGATCAAATAGAGAAAGGATTGCATTTTAAGCCTGAGAGAGTTTGTTTTTATGTTCCTCTGTCCTGAACTGACTTCATTGAAATGCATAGTTTAAGGAATTAATGGTACAGGAATTTGTTTCCCCTTCATATTCCCTTTTCCCCATTTTTTTGTTTGTTTTTCTTTGCTTTTTTCCTTGTGAGAAGACCAAAGTTGCTGGAAACTGGAAAGGTAAATGGTTTTCTAATAATATTAGCCAAAAAGACGCTGATCTCTTGCAGCAAACCCCTGAGGCCACAGCAGTTCTTTATAACTACTAAGGGCTGGCACTTGAGACTAATGTGAAATCTGGCAGCAACAGCATTCAACCTCTTATACCATTTCCTAAAGATCTGGACTCTTTCTCTTGCATTTCACAGATCAGCAGATTCATATTCTCTCTCCCTCCCTCTCTCTCTCTCTCTCTCTCTCTCTCTCTCTCTCTCTCTCTCTCTCTCTCTTCTCTTTCTCATTCTCCTCTCTCTTTCTCTCTCTTTCTCTCTCCTCTCTCTCTCTCTCTCTTTCTCTCTCCCCCCCCTCCCCAGCATGATCTCTCCCCATCCTAAACATAAATCTAAAAGCACAAATTTGCATCACACACTCATGGTTTCAATATCATCTTCACTGAATATTATACATTTAGAGACCCATTGGGCATTAGGAAGTTGTTCTTTTTTTTTCTGGTGATACTGGGGTTTGAACTCAGGGTCTCACACTTGCTAGGCAGGAGCTCTACCACTTGAGCCACTCATCCAGACCCTAGAAAGTTGTTCTTTAAATCCATTTCATTTCACCTCATTTCTGTAGTCCATCGAGTCTGCGATCATTTCATTGGCCCAAATTCTAATGTTACTTTTGGCTCATCTCTTATAATACAACTTCTCAACTGACAAGCCTGAAAGTTTATTTTCTCTGCCCTTTCAAAGTCTGACATTTAGCCTTGAGATCATGAGCCACAGAGAATTGATCACAAATGCAGACACTTAGGGTACCAAAGATGCTCATCACAGCATATGTCAAAATTTCAACCAAAAAAAAAAACACTAAAAATAACCTAAATCCTATTGATCAGGTCATGATGGCATAAATAACAATCCATGCAATCAGTGGGATCTCATGCAGACTATGAAAGTGTCAGCAAGCACTGTTGTCACATAAGAGAAACAAATCTGCATACAGTCTTATTTGAATGAAGAAGACTATACACCCATAGAAAAAGGACCAGAAAAAATGAACCTTGTGCATACCATGTTTGCCATTGGGCAGTACCTCTTTTGTTGATTCTTTTCTTCATTTCTCCACTTTTCCAAAACACACATATATTAGTTTCACATTTGAGAATAAAACTTCCTGCAAAGATCTAAAAGGCCAGTTACTACACTGAGATCCAGGAAGCTACAGTAAGTCTTCCCCTCCTCCTAGACGACTTATTAGGAAGTTGCTTCCTCCTCAGTCTGGTTTTAAAGAGGTGAGGTATTGACACACTATTAAGCAATCAGCCAGTAGGGTTCATCCAAGAGCAATAAACGGACCTCTCAAGAGAAAATTAGTGAAGCTTGGGAAATTAGACCTGGAAACCCCAACCCTGTGATCTAATGTATCCCCTCAAGACTCAGAACTATATACATTACACTTTCTGGTGTGGGCAGTTTCTTTCCAATTTGATTTTAAATGTTTCAAGTGATTGCAATTGCCCTGCTACATTTTAGACCAGCCAACAAGCTATTAATCCATCTTCCCTGAGTTTGCAGAATAACACCAGCAAACTTTAGCAATGTTCCTCTAACTTTCTTACGTGGATCTGCTAGCTAAACGAGGTGTCTTAGACCTAGTTCAAGTCCTTGCACCACTACTTAGATGTAAAACCCTACACAAGTCCCCTTACCTTCCTTACTCTGGGTTTCCTCATTTGTTAAAAAGGATACCTCTCCACCTTGTTCACAAAAGTTGTTGTAGGAATTAAAAGAGATAGTACATATAGGGAATGCATTAAGTGCACACAGTAGGTACTCATTAAATGTTTAAAGATTCTAGAGAGTTAAATAGTTGCTTGTCTGGCAGACGAAATAATCAATACTGAGGCCACAACCCCTTCTTTTGTATTTCCATGTAGGACACTTTTAGAGTGGATGGTACATACAGTTAATGACTTTGAAAAGTGAAATTCCATTTGGTACCCAAAACTTGGGTTCAGTTACATCAACTACAATGACCAGTCTTAGATTACAAATATGACTCACAGAGCACTCACTGAGCCTTCTCACTGCTGATAAGAGCCAGAATTGGAACACTAGCCATGGAGATAGGACAAAGAAGACAGAGTGAAGAGTCACATTTGAGATGGAATCAATAATACTTGATTAATAGTTCTTAGAGAGGTTAAAAGAAAGATAAAGATCCTACCCCTAAGCACCTGCTAAATGCAGTTTATTTATTCAATGAATTGTCTATCAGTAACCTACTAAAGATCAGGCACCATTCTGGGTGCAAGGGATACCACAGTGAACCAAACAGAAAAATAAAAATCTCACCAGGCACCAAGGGGCTCACATGTGTAATCCTAACTACTTGAGAGGCTAAGATAGGGAGGATCATGATTCTAGGCTAGTCCAGACAAATAGCTCACAAGACCCTCCCCTCCATCTCCAAAATAACCAAATAACCTCCATCACAAAATGAACTGGAGGTGTGGCTCAAGTGGTAGAGCGCTGGCTTTGCAAGCCTGAGTTCAAACTCCAGTCCCACCAAAAATCTCTGTTCTGTGGAGCTTCTTTTCCAGTAGGACAGACTGACAATAAATAAACAAATTAATAAACAAGAAAATGCCTGACTGTGATAACTGTGACATTGGCAATAAACAGGGTCATTATGTGGAGAATAAAAGGATAAGGTCTACTTTAGACAGGATGTCTAGGGAGGGAATCTCTGAGAAGGTAATACATGAGGTGAGCGGGTCTTGTACAGTGAGATGGAGAAAATAGGTGAAGAGGAGAGACAGTATTCCAAGAGGAAGGAATGGCAGGAGTGGAGACTTTGGTATGGGAAAAAGGTAAAGTGTGTTTGAGAAAGGTGGGGGAAGCAGCTTGTATAACTGAAGTATGTGGAAAGAGGAAAGGATTGGCAGAGAGAGTGATTAGAAAAATAAGGGTTGGGCCAGTTAACCAAGGATGGGCCTTGGGAAGAAGATTCTTAGGGAAGAAAATTGAGTTTACCTTCAACAGGTAGAGTTTGAAGCACTTGAGAGGATCCCTAAACTAAAAATTCAAGATGGCATCTTAAGAACTAGCGACAGTATTGGATTGTAGAAATTGTCCAGTTGCATCGGAATTGCTAGGGAGTGTTCTAGAAACACAGACTTCTCAAGTATTAAAAATATAAGACTGAACATGTGGCTCAAATGGTAGAACACCTGCCTAGCAAGAGGGAAACCCTGAGTTCAAATCCCAGTACCAACTAGAGAGAGAGTGAGAGGGATTGATTTCTGGAGTGCCTCACTGGGAAATTCTAATTCAAGTAGGTCTTGGCCAAGATCTGGAAATCATTTTTTCAACACTCCCTGGTAATTCTTTCTGCTCCATTCATTTAATAAATGTTTCTTGCATTTCTGTTCTATGCCAGGACAATTCTAAGTACAGAGATACAGCTCTAACAAGGTCAGAGAGCTTACAGTCTACAGAAAGAACACAGTGAATGAATAAATATTTAAATTACAATTGTGGCACATACATGCACAAAAAACAAGCTAATAAAATATAAAACATTATGGTACCACACTAGATAAACTGAAAGATCTTTGAGAAAGTGACTATGAACTGACAGATGAGTAATAAGAAGGAATGTCACGCAGCAGTCTTGGGGAACAGCATTCCAGGCAGAAGGAACAGCCAATGCAAAAGCTGAATGTAATTTTTTGGTTTATTCCAACTTGATTAACCACCCAAAATGGGGGAGAAGGCATGGTGGAGGAGGTACTATTTCATCTTTGAGTGTTCACCCAGAAAGCTATACCTGGCACTGTGCCTTGTGCTGACATAAATGTGAGTAAGACAGTCATCTCTCTCAAAGAGTCATCTGTCAAATGAAAGAGACAGATGACCCAATAAGTGAGAACATCCCAGACAATGAATCCATGTTGTGAAAAAACCAAGCAGTGTGATGATATAAACTATTGTTTTTGAGACTATGCAAAAATTACTAAAATTACTTTCATTTTTGTTGTCTGAGCTGATAGCTCAGAATCTTATCTGATTTCAGGTAAGATATTTGTAGCAATGAAAATCGTGTTTGAGATACTGTATAACTGACTATTGGGGGTAGTCCTAATAAAAGCTAACAATCATTGAGAGCAGAGACTCATCTGGCTAATGTACAAACTCACAGTATTCACAACATCTCTGTGAGTCAGGAACTATGATTATTCCCCTATTTCAGATGAAGAAACTGAGGCTCAACAAGGTGAGGGGACTTTCCTGAAGTCATTAGACTGCCGTGTGGCAATTCCCCAGCTTTGTCTGGGTTCAGAGTCTCACTGCTGGTCCCTCATGAATGGCTCAGATACTAATACAGTCGTTCCAAAAATGGATCATTCTCTATTCTTCGTGGCCAAATTACCCATTTGGGAGCGGTCAACACCAGATCTACCTGCATGTTTCTCTAGTGGTCCCGTAGGTGGAAAATCGGAGAGATGACTTCCTTGTTTCCACATTTGGGAAAAACTGGAAGGCCCCCTGACTCTAGTCTCTTGAGACCCTGTGGAGTGTGGGAAGCACTGGAAGTCTGTTCCCAACTGCATAGGGTGGAGTCTTTCCCCTCCAATATACTGAAATTTGGTGGCTTTAAAAATAAATGAGCTGGTCATCTTCAACCTGCTGGCTGGTCAGTTTGCAACTTAGAAGGTTTCCAGTCCCTCTTCCTTCAAGCCTCCTTTTCTTGCAGTTTCTCATTGTGAATTCAAATGTCTGTCCTATGGTCTCTGGGTGTGTCAGGAGTGCAGGGTCCTCTGCCTTTGATCTGTTTCTGGTGGCGACTGGCTCTCTCTTTGCTCCCTGCCTCCCCTCCTTTGCTCTCCCCTCCCTCCCTCCTTCCCTCCCGTGGGGAGGCTCTTGGCCTGGGTCCTGAGCCCGGCCGGGTGCAGGCAGAGGACACAGGAGGTGTGAGGTCACATCTCCCTTGAGCCCCGCACCACTAGCTTTTCAGAACCTCGCCATGAGCCGGCAACCAAAGCCCCAGAACGCGCGAACCGTGCGCTCCTTCTCCCTCCCAGTGCAGCCGACTTTGCCCATGTCTCAGTACGCTCCAAGCTCGGACTTCAAGGGACCTTTGGAGAGCAGCAGTCCCGAGGCCAACACTGAAGATGACAAGACCGAGGAGGACATGCCTATGCCTAAGAACTACCTGTGGCTCACCATCGTCTCGTGTTTTTGTCCCGCGTACCCCATCAACATCGTAGCTTTGGTCTTCTCCATCATGGTGAGTGGGTTGGGGACCAGAAACTGGAAGGATCCCGCAGTGCTGCGCCCTTCCCGGGAACCCAACGCGCATTCTGTGGCTCGCTTTCTCGCTGTCCCCACGCGCTAGGTTTTGTCATCCACACTTCGTCCTAGCCTTTCTCAGGCTCTAGGAACAATCCACCATTATCAACACCTCCTCTCCACTCCTTGTGGTGCTCAGAGCATCAACCGAGCCTCCCCCAGGCTAACGATCGGTTCCTTCTCCAACCAAGGCCAGCTCTTCACTGAACTTTGCTGCCTCTCCTGGCCTCCCCCACGTCCTGGGCGTTCACCGCGGTCTTCTGCACCCGCTTTTCTTGCGCTCCAACGCGTGCCGCCCTAGCAGTGCGCCCCATTGTCGGAGCGCGCAGGCTCTGGTCCCCCTGATCGCCGGCTCTCCAATCAGGACTGTCTGTCTTGGCATATGCTCCTTTCTCTTTGCTATACCCAGTGCACCGCCTCTGCCACTTTTGGAGGGTTCCAAGCAATTCCTGAAGCCCCGTCCTTACCCTTGGTCCTGCACCCTGGTAAGGCACGCTCATTCCTTGGCAAAAGTTCCTTCTTGCTTCTTCCTGCCTCCTAGCACCCTTCCCTTACCTCTCTCTGGCACCCCCTTTCCAGCGCGCCCCAGGGTGAGTGACATCCGCCACCTCTCCAGGACTTTCTTGGGCGCCCCCTGCGTTCCTCTCATCAGCCAAATGTGTGCTGGCCTTTTACTTTCTCTGCTGCACGGACGCCCTATCCCGGCTAATTCCAGGCTCTTCTCTGCTGCTCTGTCCTGCGCCGGGGGCTCTCCGGGAATGGACTGGGGGGTGCCGCTGGTTGCTTTCTGTGCCGGACCTCGGGAGCTCCGCGCCACCCTGAAGCAGAGGCCACCCGTCAGGAGCTCAGCTCCGCGGCCCTCTTCAACCCTCCTAGGAACGAGATCCTGGCCTTATTGACTGGAGCAGCTGGTCCCGGGGTGGCGGCGGGGTGAGGTTCGGCCCTGCACTGTCCTGGGACAACCCTTGCAATTGCGCTCCCTCCCCCACCGACCCACCTGCCTGCCACTGGGCGAGCAAACTTCCCGCCAGAGTCAGACAGCACTGATTGAGCAGGGTGAAGGTGGCAGGCAACCCAAGCGCATCCCCTCCCATCAAATCTACTCACACTTGCTCATGGGTAGAACCCAACTTGCCTCGTGGACATCCACAGAGACTCCATTTGCACCCGCAAATTGTCCTTCCCTAAACCTGGCTGGCTGCGCTAACCTTCACGCGCATGGCCACTGAAGTTCCAACTATTTGGGTTCACATCTTATTTTCAGCACTTGCTGTGGGGTGTCCAGAAATCACTGCTTGTTATATACCTGTATTTCTTGGGGTCGTTGTGAGCGTTCATGAGATGATTATAAAGTGCTTAGAATGGTACCCAGAATGATAATACTATCATTACTTTTATTTAATATCATTTTAAGACCTTTATTCAGATGTCACTTAGTGAGGCCTGATCACTGTTTAAAATCAAAGTCCCCCACAAGCTTTCTCTGTCACCCTTCCCTGTTGCTTTTTGTTCCGTAACTCTCCAATCAATATATTGTTCCCTTGTTAGAATGCAAGCTATATGAGGACAAGGGTATTTGTTGTGTCCGTGGCTGCTGCTTCTTCAGCTCCCAAAAGAGAATGTACCTTACTCAATATTCCAACATGCGTGTATGCATGAAGGAATGGTGTAAATGGTGCTCCCTCATGTCTCCTTTGCTCCTGTTTTCCCACACTGGCCCACGGAAGCCATCAAATCAGCCAACATCCTTCCTTCCTTCCTTCCTTCCTTCCTTCCTTCCTTCCTTCCTTCCTTCCTCTTCCTTAACATCCGCTCTTGGGTTCTGTGTAGAGAGTGGAAAAGATGTGGCAACCAAATTCCACAGGCAACCACAGGCTGACTGGCTAGCGCTGATGCCCACACTCCATCCTCCTTGTTCATGAAGGAGCCAATCCACCCTTTTCCTGGTGCCACTTAGAAAACTGCCTGCAAAGGCTTTTTCCCTCACTGGTCCAAGATGAACTGACATTCCAGCTGGTAGTGACAAGTTGGTCACTACTAATGCCACTTGGTGTGCCCTACAGGAATTCACTCATCCACCAAGTCTTTTTCTATAGTTTTATAGCAAGAGAGCAACTGCTGATAGAACACACAGTGCAGACAGAAAGTTAACTGGAAAATTTCATACTTTTTTTAAGCTTTGCTTTTATTATCTATGAAGTGGGGATGTGAGTGTCAGTTTTGTTTTGTTTTTTGGTGATACTGGGGTTTGCACTCAGAGCCTCACACTTTCCAAGCAGGCACTCTACTACTTGAGCCACTCCACCAGCCCTTTTTTGTGTTGAGTATTTTCAAGGTAGGGTCTCTTGAACTATTTACCTGGGCAAATAAACCCTGATCCTCTGATCACTTCCTCCCAAGTAGCTAGGATTAAATTCATAAGCCTTGGGGATCACTGGTTTCTGGGTCCCCCTGCATTCTCCAATATGCAGTCTTTCTCTTCTCTTTTTTCCAACTAAATTCTCTGTAAATAAAATCTTTCCTACCTCTAAAAAAAAAAATTCATAAGCCTTCAACACCCGCCTTTGTTTTGTTTTTTGAGACAGGATCTTATTTGTGGCTCTGCCTGGCCTTGAATTCATATGGCCTTGATCTCACTATCATCCTGCCCCACCCTCGCTGGTACTGGGGTTACAGACATTCACCATCAGGCCCAGCTTGTGAATATTGTTTTATGTTAAGCAAAACTGTTATAAGGATGAACAAAATACAGCATGTCAAGTCCCCAGCATTGTGTAACACATGTGCAATAACTATCAGACAGATGGGTAAATTTGGAATCTGAAGACATCACATGTCACCTATGAAAACAAGTGAAAGCTAAATTCTAAGCAGTGCTTCCTACGCCCTCCCTGTTGTACTCTCTTTAAAGTACTAGAAGTATTTTCCCATCGAAATAGTGCAAATCTGGGCTTGATGAGTTTGTGAATCTTTGTCACAAAACTCATCAAGCCCAGATTGCATAAAATCTAAAGGACAAAGAGGAAGAGTGTATGCAAGGTGCGGGTTACTGCCATCCGTTATTGCTGCTGGCAGCGCAACACCACAGAGTATGTTCCTTTTTAAAAAGAGGTTTTATTTGATCTAAGGTTAAGGGGCCGTACCTAGTGATGACCTTCTTGCTGGCAGAGTCCTGGGATGACAAAAGTCATCACAAGCAAGAGACGAGGAGCACATGAGAGACCTAGACAAGCTGACTTTATGTAGACCCACTCTCGGGGCTGGAGTTGTGGCTCAAGCAGTACCGTGCCTAGTAAGTGCAAAGCCCTGAATTCAAACCCCAGTACTGTCAGTTATCTCAAGATAACTCATCAATTTATTAATCCATTAATCCATTCATGAGGGGAAAGCCATGATCACCTGATAAAGGCCCCACCAGGTCTAAACTTTTAACATCTTATAACGGAGATTCAATTTCAACCTGAGTTTTGGATGGGACACACCATATTCAAACCATAGCAGTGGCCTCCAATACTGCAAGGTATCTTCTTTCCATAAGGTATCTTGTAATGGTCTGCCCTAGCTATTTTCAAATTTCACTCACCTGTAGCTCATGACACATTCAAGTACAGCAATGATGTGTATGGGGATCTCTACTGGGACTACACCATTCCCCAGGGAGACACTGGAATTGTGCGGGACCATCTCCTCATTACTGGTTCAATGATTTGGACCACTATTGGCATTTGATGGGCAGAACCAAATACTAATGTCCTGCGCTGCTAATGATTGTCCCCAATGAAGAACTGATACACCCCAAATACTGATCACACCCCAACTAAGACATGCTGTAAGATAATGAAAATCAGTGTAATCATGAATGTACTGAAAATATTGACAAAACTCAAAATATTTATTCACCAGAATGGTAAAAAAGAGACAGCAATCTTAAAACAATCGATACCTTTGTTTATTAAACCAAGCCTCCCATAAAATTACAAAGTCAAGAGTAAATATGTACTTTAAAAAATACACATTTGAGAAGAGTATCCTTCAAGCTGTTAGCATTTGTGTTCTTTCCTGTACCCCAGGTGGAGCAAGGAGTCTTGGGATTAGTAATGTAGCACCCCACAGATACGTTCTAGTACAACAGGTGTCACTGTATTGGAATGTTGGAGGGTCTAGCCCTCCAACCCTATTTGCAACCCTATTTGTTGAAAGTGATTTCAACCTTTACTCACCTTGAGGGATGCATATCTAAAGAATTCCCATCCCCAGGCTGGGCTACTGCCCTCCCACAGTGCACTTTCATGTGATTTTGAATATGCACACACAGCCCTGAACAAAATCACATATCTTAGTAACAGGAGTCAGACTGACTTTTGGGTTTTTCATTCACCAGCCTCCCTTCTATCTCCAATTATTTCTGTTTATTCCATCCTAAGGGAACCTGTAATTACAGGAAACCTGTCATTTCCTAATGAGACCCTCCACCCTTTAGAAAGAATATTTGTTCATTAAACAAATATCTACTGAGTCCCTGATATGTGCCCAACTCTGTTCCAGGTAATAGTATGCTGTCTTATCTCTATCAAGTGGTAAATAAAACAAACAAGATTTCTGCCTTCCTGGAGTGGAAGAAGTGAGAAGTGAGATCCCAGGCAAGTTGCAGAAGTGTTGATAAATTTAGGATGACTTCATTATATATTGGTTTTTATAGCTAGAATTTGCAACCTGATTCAGAAGACTAATTGAGTCTATATCAAGCCTCAATTCTTAATGATATCCTGATGCAGTCATAGAATCACTTGGTCAATCTAATCATTGATTTAAAAATAGCTGATGACTTTTGACGCTGGCTTATAAACCTCCTTTTATCAGAATCTCTTCTGTCTGATACCTACAGAACCTCTCTAGAGACCATGCGTTGAGGTTCAAATCTCTCTCTCTCTCTCTTTC